GTTAGGATAGATATATAGTTACATTCTCTTAATGAATAGAGGGATTTGTTCTAATAGAGTTTGTAAATAGGATATCATGTCCGCATCTTGTACAGCAAATAACCACTAGAAAGAATGTATGCATTGTGTTAATTATTGAAACTGTCCTACCAATTTGGTTTGAAACTGTCTCATCGCTATTTGTTCATCAATAAAATTATGGGGAAAAAAAGAAAAAATAAATAAATACCCAAACAAAAAGAGAAAAAAAAAAAAAAAGAATATACCAAAGGGACCTGGGAAGATAACTCAGCAGAATAAGTGCTTGCCTGGCAAGTGTAGGGTCCTGAGTTCAATCCCTGGTACCGCAGGAGAAAAAAAAAAAAAAGAAAGAAAGAAAAGAAAAGAATATACAAAGTACAAAAGCAAGAACTTCAGTTTTTGGCAGACAAGAAAAGCCCCAACTGCCAATCTAGACTTCAAAATCCCCCAATAAAAGGCCTAATCTGGCCTCAGTCCCTGCTGTTCCCAGTGAGGCCCACGTCCCTTTACAAGTCCTAAGCCTACTGTAGTCAGCAGAATTCAAGAACCTCACCTCACCAGATCCCTATTCCCTTGTGTTTCAGTAATTTCAACACAGTTCATAGATGTGCCACATTAATTGATCCTTTTTTTTTTTTTTTTTTTTTTTTTTTGGTGGAACCAGGGATTGAACTCAGGCCCTGAGCTTGCCAGGGAAGCGTTTATTCCACTGAGCCATCTCCCCAGCCCCAAAGAGCTTGTCTTTTTTTTTTTTTTTTTTTCCAGAACCGGGGATTGAACTCAGCCCCTTGTGTTTGCCAGGAAAGCGTTTACTATGCTGAGCCATCTCCCCAGCCCATTCATTGATCTTAAAATAAGAAAACTTTCCTGTTGGAACTAATCTAATCACACAAGCTCTTTCTGTTGCTGGTTTGGTTTGGTTTTTCCTTGAGACCAGGTTTCATTCTGTAGTTCAGGTTGGCTTTGAACTCACTATGTAACCCAAGCTGATCTCAAATTCTCTGTGATCCTCCTGCCTCAACCCTCAAGACTTGCAATTACAGGCACGCACTGCCACGACTGCCAACTTGCGCATGGGCTCCTTAAAAGCACAGTCTTCTCTGACTGGTGGCAGAGGTCAGAAAGAGACTGCTCCGGCTGGAAAAAAGTCTCTCTGGAAGCTGCATGCAGGGCAGCGTGACAAGGAAGCGATTCTGCGCAATGGTGGTGAGTGAGGACCAGGGCCATGCCTTGGGTGGGAGCTACCCCACTTCTGCTCTGTGAAGCCTAACCAGACAGCTCAGCCAGCCTGAATCTGACCCAAGGAATGCGACATGCTAAGTGTGCAGTGCTCTGCTGCCCCTGGAGTTCTTGGCAATGTTACATGGGCGCTGCAAATGAATACATACCTCCCTATACCATCAGCGCTCTTTCAACTCCAGCAGTCCCAGCAGTTCCTTGGGCTTCCAGTCCCAGCTCAGCCCATATGCGACACCACCCTCACACCTCTGATTCCCCTCTTTCCCTTGGGGGCATACCTGGCCCTGCGCTTGCGCACCCTGCGCTCGTGCTCAGCTTCTTCATAGTAGTACTCGTTGTGGCTGTTGTCCCGCCGCCGGGCAGCTGCTGCAATCACAGCCCGAGACTGGCCCGTGGAGTTGTTAGTGCTGTTTTCTGCAGGGTCAAAATAGAGGGGATGGTCACATCAGGGTGTGGCCTGGAGCTCTGCAGACAGAGTCTGACATGCCCAGAAGGAAACTATCCCACCACCCGGCAACACCTCCCATTCCAGCCCTCCTGGTCACCTCTGGGAGAGGCTGCAGGAAAGCAACCAGGAAGGCCCTGGAGGGCAAGGATCCTGCACATGTCCCTCCCAGGTGCAGGAGGTGCTCAGCTCAGAGAGCCCAAGGGCTCAGACCAGGGCTGGTGAACAGACACAGAGGAGCCAGATCAGGGACACGCCATTGCTTAAAGGGACAGCGAGCAGAATCAGCATCTAAGACCAGCCACCTGGAGTCAAGGGAAATGACAGAACAGAGGGGGCTGGGACATGGGCTGGAGAAAGGAACAGCAAGGGAAGAAGGAGGAGAGAGAAAGAGAAATGAAGGCGCTTGGATCCTGCTCGGGAAGAGGCTGGGAGGGGCGGAGGCGCAGGGCCGCTCACCCTCTCCAAGAGAGTACACCTTGAAGCCAGACACTTTCTTGGCCAGCACGGACTTGGGCAGGTTGAGGAGGGCAGGGTTGTAGACAGGGAAGTCATGGTAATACTTCTCCAGGATCCACACTGCCACGCGCTGGATGCTGTGGGGGAGATGGCAGGAGGGGGAGGGAGAAGGGACAGACAAGGGATGCAGGGAAAGGAACACATCAGGGCAGGTCAGCAGGGCAGGAGAGGGCACATGACAGGGGCAAGCTGCTTCCAGGAAGCCTGGCTCAAGCCTGATGTCTACTTACCAGGCTCCCAACCTACCCTGGAGTTGGGCCTGCTATTTTTCCCTGCCATGCTGAAGCCCAGAGAAGGAGGGTGGTGGGACCCAGTCAAGGGTCCCCTCATCCTCCCAAGATTTGTGACAAGACCAAATAGGTGTCAGTATGCTCTGAATGCCCAGGGGCCAGGGAGGGGGATCCTGTCCACAAGCACAGTAGGAGTTGACACCCTCCCACCTCCTCTAGTAACTCTTGCTCTAGGGAACCCCTGTCCTGGTCAGCTCAGCTCAGTGACCATTCACTGACTGCTCACTAAAAGCTATGCTTCCAAGAAAGGGGCAGAACAGCCCCTGTACATGCCCCATACCTCTCTCTCCGTTGGTTCTTCCTCCTCTAAGATTCCTGATCTCTAAACACTTGTTCACTCCCAACAGCATCTTGCCCCACAACACTGCAAATGACCTCCCCATTAAGCAGCAAATGTTGTTGAAAACCTTCTCTGGGCAGAGCACTGAACTCCTGCCAGCCCCCACCCCACCCTTCCCTACTGCACCGGGGCACACAGCCCTCCTGCTCCCAGGAACTGTACCTGAGATGGCCCACATTGTAGAAGCGGCTGGCCCCATCCGTGGAGCGCACAACCTTGAGTGTGAACTGTGGCTGGAGTTGGCGTAGCTCCAGCAGGACCACGGCCAGGTAATGCACAAAGAGCAGTGCATCCACCAGCGACACTGCAAACTGCACAACGCCCTGGTAGCTGCGCTCACGGGCATCCAGGATGCGAACGCCGTAGAAGAGCCAGTAGGAGACGACAAGGAGGAACACGAGCACCATGAGCAGGGCCCGCAGCACGAAGACACGGGGCAGCGAGGCCTTGGGCCGGCGGAAGAACAAAGCCCAGCTGCCCAGCAGCAGGATGAGCAGCTTGAAGGCCACGGAGATGAAGAGGCCCTCGCAGGCTGTCCCGCACGGCTCCAGCTCATCCCGCCACAGCAGCGGGGGCAGCAGCAGGAAAGCCAGTGGGGTGAGGAAAGACAGCAGCGCCAGAGTGGCCCCTGCCGCCACACCCAGGTGGCGAGAGCAGTCCAGCGGGACACTGTCCTCCATGTCCTTGGCAATGCGCGTGAGGTCATCGTGGGAGATGCTGTGCTCTGAGGTGCCCGTGACAACCGTCGTTGTTTCCCCCCAGTTGTCATCCTGTAGGTAGGAGGGGTCCACAATGAGGGACAGGAGAGGAAAAGGGGAGGGGGAGAGAGGGGCAGCGAGAAGTCAGAGGAAGGGATTGGAAAGTAGAAGGCAGACTGAAAAGAGTGATCAACTACGCAACCGTCAAAATATTTACTGAGCTCCACTGCATGTCCCAGCCCAAGCCGCAGCCCTTGAGAAGGAGCTGTCCCCTGGTCACTGAGCACTGAGTGAGGAAGACACTGCCTGCACAGCCAGCACAGACCCTTGGGACAGAGGGCACAGGACAAGTGCCGAGGGAGCCACTCAGGCAGCGACAGGAATCCTGGGGCAGACTTGCCAAGCAAAACAGACAGGCTTCCAGGCAACAAAGGGAACGGAGCTGACCCCAGGAGGGAGGTGACATGAACAAGCTTGGCGGAATTAGGGGCTCCCAACCCCAGCTGCGCACATTAGAGTCACCTAGGGAGTTGGAAAGGATACCAATTACAGCAGAGCAAGATCTGCTTGTCAATCTTTTTTAAAAATACCTCCCCAGACAATTCTAATTTCATCCAAGATGGAGAATCTTTGAATTAAACGATCTCTAAGGGCTGGCCACTCGAAATGTGTTCTGTGAGCCACAGTGTGGACAGCACCTGGGCGCTGGGTGGACGTGCAGACTGCAGGCCCACCCCACATTTCATTAAACCTTAAAGTTCTAGAAGTACTGTCTTAAGTTCCTTCCAGCTTCTGCAACATTCTCTGATTTCAGCAAAAGCTAGAAGGGAAGCAACCGAGGTGAGGATGTGCAAACCGAGGCTCCAGGGCATGGTGACAGCTGGGGATGGAGGGGTTTGGGAGCAGGAGCAGGAGCCAGAACAGAGCGCAGCCTGACCAGGACAACAAGGCTGAGAGCAAGGCCCAAGCAGTAAGCAGCTGCGCTCCAGGCATGGGGAGAACGCCCTGATTTCTGATTGAGGGAGTGACCTGACAAAAGTAGCACAGAGAAAAGGACACCAGCAGGGGAGAGGGCAGTGTACAGAGCAGGGCCCAGGGGATACAGTGCAGACTCGAGATCATGGTGGATCTCTATGAAGCCAGCGCTCCCTGACCATCTGAATGCCCACAGCCCAGGGGCCACCTGGAGGTAAGAGGTGGACATGCTGAGCTGCCCGGGTGCCCTTCAGAATGGGGACTGCTCGAGCTGTTTCTCTGTGGTGGCTGGTGACATCCACAGAGGAATCCCACAGCCACTCAGCCCACACCCGCCCTCCCTAGGCAGCCTGAACAAATGAAGTCCTGTCCTAACCTCCAGGGGACAAGGATGATGGGACTAGGAGAGTGGGGTGGGAAGGTAGGCCACAGCCTGGCAGGAGAGGGCTTGAGGAGTCTCCTCTCCAAGGATGAGAGAAGAGTCCAATCTGAGTGTAGAAAATAGACATGCTGGCCACTTTCAAATTGAGGAACTCAGTCTCCCCATCAGCATATGACTTCCAGACCCCCCTCAAGGTCAAGGCCTCAGGAATTCCACCCCAACAAGAGGTGAGCTGACAGGATCTCAGGGTCACTTCAAGAACCCATATGGCCAGGTCACAGGGAAAGGGACTAGGAAAAGGAAAGAACAATTTCCTCACTACCCGGGAATTCACAGTGGCAGTCATGGGTACTGCTCCTGAGGAAGAATGAGAGGAGAGTCTCCAACCCCCTAAGATGCTCGAAAGAAGAAAGCAAGAAGGAGTGAGACTGAGACCACCACACTGTCATCTCAAATCTTGGGCCTGCCATATGCAAAGACTGTGTTCTGCCCATTGTCCTCCCTACCAGAGAAACCCTGCAGGTTTGGACAAAAGCCCTCTCTGGAAGAACTCTCTTCCAGGGTACTCCCTCCACCCACACATCGCAATACCTCACACCCCCAGTTCTCCTCTTCTATTCTTCACACGTCCTTTCCCTAGGCCTCTGGTGATGATGTTCCACACGTTGACACCAGAGGGCCACCCCTGAAGGCAGAAGGAGACTGCCCAAGTTGTCCACACCCCCGGGCCTCACCCAACTACTCTGGATCCCAAGCCACTCAGCCTCTGGAGATAAGGAGAGGCTGCTGCCTCCCAAAGGAACTCCACTGAAATCCTCTAACTTCCACAACAAAGCCCTACCTTGGGAGGCTAAGCTAAAAAGTATAATCAGACAGCCTCTCTGACATGACCTCCATCCAAGGAGCCCAGGTGTACAAGCCCTTCCCCTCTCTGACCTTCTCCACTGCTGCCCACTCCTCTGAAGGGCGCTCTGGAAATGCCCCTGCAATCCCGCCGATGCTCACCCGCTCATCCCCCCGCGTGGACTCATTGTCTAGCAGGGGCTCTCCTGGAGCCTGGATTGTCACTGACTTGTCTCCACGGCTCCCATCGCGGCTCTTAGAGCGGTGTCGGTCCCGGCGGTCCCTGCAGCAAGAAGCCAGAGCAACAGCACACAGTCAGAGGAGGGCTAGGGTTTTTTCACCAACCTTACCCCTGCCACCTCAGCAACACCCTCCCTCCACCACCCGTGTCTCCACACACACATACACACCTGTGCTTGCGGGAGCTGCGGGAGTGGCCCGACTTGTAGGAATAGCCCGAGTACTGGGACTCGGTGTCCATGGCGTCTGAACGCCGCGCCTTGTAACGCTCCAGGGCCGCAGGCTGGGGCCGCTTGGGGGGCCCCACAGCCACCTCCCTCAGCACCGGCTTCTTCAGGCCAAGAGGCACCTTTAGGAAGTCAACTGTCACCCTGAGGGACTCTATTTTGCTGGACGAGTGGGCTTGTCTCAGAGAAAAATCAAGCGACGCTCCTGAGGAGAGGAAACAGCAGGCTACAGAAAGCTATAGTTTCCAGTGGGTCAAGGCAGAGGAAGACCACCCCCATGGCAGCCACAGAAGGCTTGGATGGGCCACACCACTCCTGTGGATGCCTCTTCTATGGTTCCACCTGCCCTCAAGCTAGAAAGAGCCCCCAGCCCTACTGCATTCAGGACTCAGGGATGGTGGCAGACTCCAGCAACAGCTCCCAGGCCCGGAAGGCCAATGCTATCATTTAGATCTAAAAGTTTCCCTAAGGGGAAAGGAAAGTAAAAATGATTAAGATGAGTTATGTATACGTACCAATTCCGCAAGATGAATGTACTTATTATCTTCTGAAAACATATACTAATAAAAAAGCGGCCACCAAGAGTCTCACATTTGGAGGTAGAGGCTTTTGTTGGTGGTCAAATCATGCACTATATTCATCTGTGGATTAACATCCACTGCCGAGTTCACAGGGGAACGTGCCCTTAGGAGGTGGGCTCAGGATGGAGGGCTCGAAGGGCATGACTTGGAAGAGTGTGCTCTTGCACCCAGCTCCCCCTTCTCTCTGCTTCCAGCAGCTTTCAGCCGTCAAACCTTCCACTGTGCCATTTCTGCCTCAGAGCTGATCAGCCATGGACTGAACCCTCAGAATCCATGAGCCAAAATAAGCCTCTCCTCCTTTAAATTACAGATGTCAGGTATTTTGTACCAGCAACAGGAAAGCTAATGAACACAACTGCTCAGCACGCCCCATCCTGGACCCTGTGCTAGGGAAAACCAGGGCAGTGGTTTCCTGTTTTCAGCCAGACAGAGTGACACTCAGTGATGGCTGGTTCTGGCCAGGCTGAGTCTGAAGCAGTGGAGACCTCAGAAAACACACAGCAAGGGTCGGGGAGATGGCTCAGTGGAATAAGCGCTTCCCTGGCAAGTGCAGGGGCCTGAGTTCAATCCCCAGTTCTACCAAAAAAAAGAAAAAGAAAACAGAAAGCAGCTGGCTGCTGGCTAGAGGCTACTCCAGCCCTCTCCACCACCCACACTCCTAATTGCGAGTGTGCCCAGAGTCAGAGCTGCCTATGGCTGCTTCTATGGAACCATCTCCCAATATCTACTACAAACACACCCACGGTCACCAGCTGGGCTGGCTGGCTGCACTCCTCCAGGCTTTCTTTATGTTTACGGGGTGTATAGAGGTGTACACACATACTGGGAAGTGGGGTGCTGGCAACATGGGGAAGGGAGAAGTAAAGGATAAGCAGAACCCTTTCCCAAAAGCCTACAGTCCTGGAATAGGTGAGGTACAGGTTCATCTGGCTCCTTTTGGACTGAGGAGAACCCTCTTTCCCCTACACGTCCCCTCCTAACTCCACAGGGATGGGCACCCTCTCCCCTCCCAAGTCCACAATGACTTCAGGGCCCAGCCCACCCCACAGGAGCATCTGACACACAGAACTGTCTCCATTCCCCTAACCCTGCTAATAGTCTCTACCATGCACCGCACACACTTTCTTCCTGTCTTCATTCAGACTCTCCAAGCCTGTTTTAAGCACCTTCTGTGAACTCACACTTCGCTAGGCACCGGGAACACAGTCCTGTAACAGAGCCTCTGCATACAGTCCAGGGAGGAGATGCGCGCAGAACAAGTGAACAGATAAACAAGAATGACCATGAGTGTGAAAGAAGAAACAGGACAGGAAACCAGGAGAGACAACTTCATGGAGCTACTTTAAACGCCATGCTCTGGGGGAGAGAGGAGAGAGGAAATAAGCACATAAAGGATTAAGACATGTTACATACATGGACCAATTCCCCACAATGAATGCAATTATTATGTACTGCAAACATACTCCTAAGCATAAAAATTTTAAAAATAAAAGAAACTGAGTGTTCTGGGAAGTCTCCTTGCACAAATGATACCTGAGAACAGGCCCACAGGAGGAAGGAAAAGCCTGCAGAGTTGAGAAATCACAGGCAGGAAGACCAAAAGCAGGGAAGAGCTGTCACTGCAAGAGCGAGAGAGGCTGGGGGACCAGAGCTGTGGACAGGAGGTAGCTAGAGGCCAAGAGGACAGCCAAGTTTTATTCCATCCCAATAGGAAATTTACTTTAGCATAATGATCCAGATTGGAGCACAGGGAAAGGGGAAGACAGCAGGGAGCTGAGGTGATTGCTTGGTTGGGGCAGATCCACAGGAGAGATGAAAAATGGTCATGCTGAAGAAAAGGCTGGTGGCAGAATCACCGAGACCTAAGGAAAAAACCAAAGACTGGCTAAGGTGGAGGCAGCCTTTGAGACCCTGGCTTGGGTAAAAGAGATGACCACGCCCTAAGCAAGGTCAGGAAAAACAGGGAAGCACATTTGGGGAGGAAGGTGGTGAGTTCTGTTTCCCACTGTGAAGTGCTTGGCTTAGAGGCAATGGGCAGTGGGCTTGGGAGAAGCTGGACTCAGAAGAACGCGAACTGAGCCGGGAGTGCCAGCACAGGCCCGCAATCCCAGCACTCTAGGAGGCTGAGGCAGGAGGACTGAAAGGTCAAGTTCCACCTAGGCAACCGATCAAAACCTTGTCTCCAAAAAGGATGTGGTGGCTTGGTGTGAAGGCCCTGGGTTCAATCGCCCACTATCTGAAGGACAATGGGAAGAGCTCTGAGGTTCCCCTCGGAATACTGGGCATGGTAGTGCACACCCTTAATCCCAGCTGTCAGGAGGCTGAGGCAGGGACTGTGAGTTCGAGGCTAGCCTGGGCTACATAGTGAGTTCAAGGCCAGCCTAGATTACAGAGAGAGACCCTGTCTCAAAAAAATAAAAAGAAAACAAGATCACCTCAGGAAAGGGCCCAAGAATTCCAAAATGCACCTGCATCCAGAGAAAAAGCAGACTGAAGGGTGGAGAAGGTAAGAGCAGATGAGCAACAGACCAGAAGAATGGGACCTCAGGGGAGCCTGGAGCGCAGGAGCATTTCAAGGAGAAACACAGTCAGCCTGGTCAACTGCTGAGAGGCCACTTTCGCAGGGAGCAAAGCTGAACTGTTTGGGAGAGCTACCTTTTCTCCAGCTCCCTAACCCATCAGGACCTTGGGAATAAGCGGCATGATTGGGACATATCTACATCCATGTCCCTTCCTGTGGGCATCCACCTATTAAATGAATATGCCTGTGTGACTCTCAAGGCAACATAGAGCGATACATGGATATGAAATCCATTCATTTATCTCCCTCACAGTTATCTGGGGGCAATCCATGGGTCAGTGATGTTTGTCAAGTGTGTGACAGGGCCATGCTTGGGGGACAGGGGCATAAAACCTCAATGCAACTCAGAGCCTCTCAGCAATTTGCTGCCAACAGGACCCACTTTCATGCCCCATCTGTCCCTGCGCCGCTCTCCCCCCAGCCCACGCCGCTGGTGACTCCTCTGTGTGGTTCAGACGTCTCACCTGCATCAGTTTTGATGTGGTTCCAGCCTGTTCTCCCTGGCACTCCTCTTAAACACTGAAGTATATTCCAGAGTGAGAGGGATGGTGACGGAGAAGGGGAAAGGAGCTCCACAGAGTGTGGGGACACTGGACCCACGCCCTCCATCGCCTCACCATCACCTGCAGTGCCCACATCTCAATGCCAGAGCAGCAGCAAAAGCAGATCTACATGGAAAGATCTGAAGTCTCACTCTACCTCTCCCACCAACTAGCTGTGTGACGCCGGGCGAGCGACTTAACTCCTCAGTGCTTGTGGGTAGTAGGGTAGGCTCACTGGTGAAACAGAGAAGGTAATGTAGCCACCCACTCAATGAGGTTGCTGTAAGAATCCCGGGGGTGAGAGAAGTACTTTCATAAACTTTGCAGCTAGTAATCAGTTAAGCAATTAATAAGCTCTTGCTCCAGGAGTTCTCTCACACTCTAGTCCCCAGACACTTCCTCTGAGACTAGAGAAAGAGGTGATATAAATAAATCTTGCTATTTGTATGACTAAATAAAGAATACACACACACACACACACACACACACACGCTTGCATGCACATACACGCATGCGCGTGTGCATCCTATTCAGAACCACAGCTTTAAACACACTGAGAAGTAAGCCAATCCCACAGATAAATGTCAGGCCAGATGAAGGTACCAGTCACCTCCAACTCTTTGTTCTGTGCTGCTCAGCCTGGAGAAATTACCTTCCTCCCTCCCTGCTTATTAAAGACCCAACACAAACCTGCATCCCTGACCTGCCCACCCACGTCAAGGTTCCCAAAACACACTGAAACATGCTCCTCCATCCCCTACCAAACACAGGGCCCCCCAAGTGACCCTGATTTCTGAGATCTTTGACTGTTGTCCTTTCGAGTACCCTAGGAAACTAATCCAAGCGCTGGAGAGGCCAAGAGAAGGGAGGGACGCAGAGAGAAGGCAGAAGCCCCCGCCCGGGGACTCGGAGGATTGGAGGGTCTCCCGGGTGGGCTGTGTTCCAGGGAAGAGCGGGGGAGGGGAACACTGGATGAGCTCAACAAGTGGAAATGTCAGAGGGGTGACGAAGTGGAGAGAGAAGCCCAGGCTTGGCACAGGCTGAGCGGCACTGGGCTGAGGGTGTGGGAGGCTGTGAAAAGGGAACACATCCACAGCTTCTCACCTCACCCCTTACTCCCAAGACACAACACAGGCACTCAGGGCCCTGGTCAAACCAGCCGTGGATTATCTGGGGTTAAAAGGAGGCCAGTGAAGGGAGAGAGAGGGAAGAGAGACCGGCACAAAAAGGAGACCCTTTTCCCCTCCAAAGGCCTTTCAGAAATAAAATTAATGGAATGTGTCTCAGTATCATCCCAAGGGGATTGAGGGGAGGGCTGGGGGGAATGTGGGGGCTTTTGTCCCCGCTGCCCAGCTTCTCCCACATTGATCACCATGGTAACCAAAGCCCCCGGTTGCCTAGGTGATAGCAGCCAGGCCCTGGAACCCATACCCAGAATCCAAAGCGAGAGGGAGGTTATGGGGGGGTAAGGACAGAGGGGAAGAGAATGGGGTTTCTCTTC